TCCCCACCCCTAACCTTAAAAATTCCCACGACATATGTATATAAAGTTATATATATGCATATGTTATAATCCACTATATAATTAACGGGAACGTAGTTTTACCAGTTACCTATTATAAGCAAAGTCATAAAGCCTATGATAGCCAAAAAGTCTAGATTCCTGGCAAGGATAGTATTACGTACGTATGTATGAAAAATTGTCACATGATACGACAATTAACCATATTAAATAAGTCTTAAATCAAGCGCAGGCTGTCACCCTCAAGCGATAGCCTCTACAGCGAATATATCGAAATGGCAAGCCTTCGTAATATTATGAGAATAAACAAGGCATCAACAGCTTTTTTCCTTTGTGACATTCAGGAAAAATTTAGACCTCATATTCATCAATTTCTAAGCGTAGTTTCGACCGCACAGAAAATGGTAATTCGATAAAATAAATTCAATTCTTAAGATATTAAATATTAATGTTAATTTTCATATTAAGATTGCAGCATCCAAAATTTTGGATATACCTTTAGTTGTCACTGAACAAGTTTGTAAATTTTTTCGTTCAAATTTTTTTAAAAGTTGTCCATTTTTTTGATTGTTTGCTTTTTTTAAATAGAATCCTGGAGGTATTACATACATATATTCGTTCATTTAAAATGGTAGCTTTGATTTATTTATTGATTTTTTAATACTGCAAATAAAAGCTCTCGGAAGTACGGTTCAAGAACTTGATATTTCTACTGCAGAAGTAGTTGGAAAGACCAAATTTTCAATGTACGAAGAAAGGGTTCAAAACATACTAAAAACTAAGAAGATAAAATCAGTGGTGCTATTTGGAATTGAGGCAATTTATATGACTTTTTAAATATTGACATTTTTATTTGAAATTGGTTTTTTTTCCCACTAACATTATTTTAATATAGACACATGTATGTGTGTTTCAAACAACATTGGATTTGTTGGAACATGATTATGATGTTCATGTATTAGCTGATGGTGTTTCTTCGATAAATTATCCAGAAATCGATATTGCGTTGCAGGTTAATATTGATATACCTTTGATTGTATTTTTGCACATAAATTGACATAATATGTTTCTTTTAGCGTTTAAGACAATCAGGAGCATCAGTTACAACTTCAGAATCAATTTTGTTTCAACTCCTTGGTGACGCGACACATGAAAAATTTAAGCCAATTTCTAATTTGATCAAGGAATATAAAGAAGCAACTTCTAACAATAAATTGTTATATAAAGCTACATTGTAACCACGAAAACGAAAATTTCATAAAATTGTATTTGCTGCAATAACCAAGTTGCAATGAGACTTTTAAACTTTATAAATATGCACACTATAATTTCAATATATCTGTTGAAATTGTCTATAATTCGTAATCAAATTTATTCTGAAACGACTTGTATCGTTGTATGGTGCACGACACTTAAAGACTATGCGTTATTAACTTGTAGGCAAATCAATCTACAACTTGGCAGTTTTACAATATCTTTAAACAAAAATATTAGTTTTAATTTATACAAAATTAATTAATGGGGTTTCATAACCCGGCTGGATCCAAATTTGCAAACTTTTTATTTATAATCGTTAAACTGTACCAGATTCACGATTATGTAATTTTGACAAAATTCTTTAAGATGCTAACAAGTGATAGATAGATTAAAGGAAACTTTTTATTAAAGCACTAAAGGTGGTTTTTACTGAACTTTAGATTTTTTTGATATCTGTGCTATACATATTCCAGGCACGTGAAGCATTTATTATTGATACAAATATTAAAGTTCTGAGGCAACGAAAGTTAATAAAGCATTTTATAATTTTGAGGGCATCAAACAATAATTATACGTGCAATGACCAAATAAGCTATAGACCGTTCAAGACACAACTATATAAAGTTAGGTATATATTTATTGAATTTAAAATGAGAAGCTTACGAGAAAATAAAAAACAATATAATTTTGATATTGTTTAGATATAATTTTGAGATTGTTAAAATTAAAATATAATATTGATATTGCAACAATATTATTACAAGATTATAAAATATTGTAATTATATTAATTATATTGTAATAATATTATAACTATAATATAATTAAAAGAAATTTACAAGACATATTTTAGCATAGCATAGATATTATAAAATTTTTTAAATATTGCAAAAAGATTATTATAATAATATTTTTTTAATCAAAGCTAGTTTTTTTTGACATTAGACTTTTATTAGATTATAGGACCAAGAGCATTTTTAGAGATGTCTAGTATTGGTATATTTTTAATAAGAATATATCTAGCCTTTTATATAACTTTAGTTATTGTTTATTAAAAACTTTGCTATAACTATTACTCTTATAGGTGCTTATCATATACTATATTTAAAATTTATTTATAGTTTTTTTTATTTAAACTTTCTGATTTAAGTTTTTTACTATCAAGATTTTAGCTAATTGTTTATTGGTTTTTTTCTTGTTACAGTCAGAACTCCATAAATAAATGCACGGACTAAGTAAAAACACTCTAAATGCACGGCATTGTCTGGTCCCAACTCATAAGAACTATATATAAGTTCTACTTTATAAATGCATACATTCTTTAAGTGCACTATTTCAATTTTTTTTCTTATAGTTCCAACGGCAGTGCATTTACGGAGTTCTGACCGTATATTTGTTAGTTAAAATTTTATCAAATCTTTTTTTTGTTATTTTAAAACTAATTTTTTCTTAATATATTATTTTTAAAACTATTTATATTTACTATATATTTATTTAAAAAATAATTTATATCTGGTTTAAAAGCTAGTATTTATAATTTTTTATTTTTTTACTATTGTCTAGTTCTTGTAAAATTTATTCAAACCTTGATACTTTTTTTCAAATCTATCTAACATTTTTTACTTTTAGTATATTTTAGCTAGTTTTTAATCTAAATAGTTTGGTAAAACTATAGCTGTTTTTGATATTTACAAATAAAGTTTTTTTCTAATTAATATTTTGATAATCTGTTTAATAAGAATACTTTTGTTTTACTATCTAGTTTTTGTTTAGTTTACTGATTTTAAATATAGCTTATTCTAATAGTATTGTTAGAAATTTGTTATCTTTTTTTATTTAAATCTTATTAAGCAATATTTGTTTTTTTAAATTTATACAATTACAAAAACTTATCTCAAGTTTATACTACTCCATACTGGTTTATATATCTTTGTTTTTTTTAATATTATTATATTCAACCTTTTTTTGATTTTAAAACTATATATATAGTAATAAAAACCACTGGTAATATAAAGTAATTTTCATATATATATTAATATTATATTTTGTATTTTAATTAGTCAATCAAATATTATATATTTATTAAATATTTATTAAATTATTTGATAAATAATTTTTTAGATTTGAATATCGATATTCATTTAATGAAACAATTACATATTCAAATATTCGAATATACTATTCATTGAGTTAGACCTCTATGTTGAAAGACTTCCATCACTTGTAAGAAAATCACGTCTATTAAACCTGAGTGATATAAATATTGTAAGTGAGAATAGAGCTATATACGGATGTCTAAATTATTTTTTAAAAAAGGTAATTTCGACAAAAATTTGATATTGCTAGTTTTTTATATGAATTCCACAAAGTAGCTATACTACTTAATGTATTTTGGTATAAAGAATTCAAAAAAAAAATTTGAAAATTAATTTTGTCACTGATCAAATTAATTTCAAAAGACTAAATATCGAAATAATTTTTTATTAAGAGGAGTAATTTAGACACCCATGTATAAATAGAACCATAATAGGGTTTGGAATCTACTTAGATTAGAACGAAATAATTATACTAAAAATCCTAACCCTAACCTTAAAAATTTCGAATCAACTTAAATTCTATTCTCACCCATAACATAAATATCTTAAGACATTGATAGAAGTGATATTTGTATAAGTTACAATCAGAAATGGAACTTTAGTTAGGATGTGAAAGTAGGAATCGTTTAAGGCCTTGTAGTTTTCATATGAGTTTTATAGCTATTATCATTGTTTGTGAGACACCTTGTGAAAAAATTAACCGAATGATTATTCTGCCAATTCGATAAGTTATTGATTTTGGATATGATCAATGTAACGTTTATTATTTACAAAGATGGTCTAAAGCCAGGTACGTACGTACATACTAATTGATTTGTAAGGTTTTAAATGACCTCTATTTATAGTGTAGCAGTGACAATTATTAATCGATAATGACCAATAACCAATATCGATATAACTCTAGTTATTACAATTTAAAAGCATATTCACTGAAAAGTAGTCAAAAAAAATTTAGAAGAGTTATAAATTCGAACAACTGCTAAACACTTAGGTGTTAGCAGATCTTCAATAAGTCAAATTTTCAACCAATTTCAAAGATATGGATGTGTTAAAAGACTTCCACCACTGTAAAAAAATCATAACTATTAAACCTGAATGATACAAAATATCTTAAGACTTTAATAGAAGAAAAGCCAAACTGATCTTTGTATGTGTTATAATTTGAAATGGAACTTTAGTTAGGACGTGAAAGCAGAGATCGTTTGAAGCCTTGCAGTTTCATGTGAATTTAATTTACAAATCGATTAGTACCTTCGAAACATACCAAGCTTTAGACTATCTTCGTAAATAATAAACATTATATTGATCACACGTATAGATTCTGTGCCAGGTATATGGCGCAGGCAAATTTTTTTGAAGTTTATTAATATTAGGGTTAGGTTAGGGTTGGTTAGAGGTTAGGCAGTTATAGTAGAATCATTCAAGGAGAATTTTTTGTTAGTGCACTAAAGGTGGT